TTTTTTTTTTTCACCTCCTGATTTCTAAACCAGTTTTACTGTTATAAAATGCTAAGAAAATACAAAAAGATTACATAGTCATCAAAGATAATGAGAAGCGAGAAAAAAGCGAAAAATCAAGAAGTTGAGAGAAATAAGTGAAACAACGCCATGAAAATAATTTTAGCTCGTTAGTAACTTAAGTTGGAAACATAGCCATCAACCTGTCTAGTAAAGACCTTGCCAAAGTTAAGCAACTATTAAAAGAGTCTTCGTAAACGTCGATTCTTCTGTATCATCTCTCCAATCTTTGACAAGCCAATTCTGGCAACCTTTTTAGAATCAATGCAGTCTAACATTTAACTTTTCATAAGAATTCTTCAAAAATATATCTATTTAACACTTCTATCATCTTTTAATGGTAAAATTTATGCAGTATACTCAACATGGGTACGTTATAAAACTAGAATGGGCACAAAAAGTGGTTCAAAGCACGACAATGAGGTTTGACAGCTTTCCTAACTAAAAAAGAAAAAAATTAGATAAAAACTTAGTTATTTACGGTTGAAAATGACTGCCTAAAAAATCCATTCCCACCATCGAACACCACAAAACTGCATACGTGCCTCCAAAATCAAGAGGCATTGCAATTAAAAAAACATTCCGACAAGTACCACAACTATTGTAACTAGCACCACACACTTATTTTTTTAACAACGTAATAATAGTCCATTGAGCACATTCTGCTTAGATTTTCATTAAAACCTCAAGAATACAAGACCTAGCCCTGCATTACTTCTGCACATTGAACGTACTTAAACTATCATCATTTAACGAACCACAGGGCTACGCAAACCTAGAAATACAACCTGTCAGCTCACCAACGTTACCATCTTCGCCATTGCATCACGATTCTCCTCCACACATAGACGGCATAACTGCTGAAGGGAAGAAAGCTATGCTTCTGATAAAATCATCAGTACAGTGTTCTGTTGACTGAAAAAAAAGTAATGCAATTACCACTGAGATTCGAGCCGCTTTTTGAACTGCTGGTCTACTTTTACTTTTTTTTAAAGGGGATTCTGGCTGTCCTCTTCGCAGCGACTTGCTTCCAAACTTGTTCAAAGTGGCTTATTTAATCTAATTTGCGCCTGCTTCGATATAACGTTATTTGTTTGCGAGCTACGTATTGTATGATTTAAAGATAAGAGTTAAGGAACAGACCCACTCATTACATAACAGAGTTAGTACTAGCAAGGTGGAACTAGCAATTTCTACATTTCTCACCGGAAAACAGAAACCCATGGCATAGCAAGGCGTTGGAGAGCTTCACCAGCCAAATTGTGCAGGACCACTACAAAACTTTTAACCTCAATAACTGACTTAAACACTGAAACTCGCTCCTAAACATAAAAACCACTTTCCTCTCTAAACCTACCCTAAACAGCTGTTTTCTCACAAACTGATTTGGATAAAAACCAACTTCGATGCACTTACCTCCCGCGCTTCCTCAACCTTCAAGCACTGCCTCTGCTTATTGCGTTAGTTATGAAACCGCCATTGCTTTTGGAAGAACATTGTGAACTACAATTAATCAAGTCTAAATAAGACCAAAGGAACTAAGACAAAACTACGTTTTAATACATAACAAGGGAGGAGACACACATTGCTCAAGATGGGAAATGACGAAAAAAACAGAGGCAACAACAAAAGAAATAAATAGTAATAAAGCATAGAATGAAACTTAGACTTATTCCTCCACCTCTCTACCCTGAGGAAGAATTAAAAAACCAGCCGTCTGTAAGAGAGGTGGTTTATTAAAGATAGCTACCTAAAAACCAAAGCGAATCACAGACTGAATCGGATACACAACTTGAGGGTCAAATAAAAGTAACTGAATCATTTTACACACCTCCAAAAGATATATCTACAGATCACTATTTACACTGGCATCAGAAAGCTGCACTGAAGAGGCTGTCTCAATCGTTTTTTCGCAAAAATGAAGTACTTCTTTGACTCCTTCCAAAACAGAACCTTCAGACGAGTCTGCTATTAGCCGTAAATAGACCATGCTTTTCTGTACAAAGTGGCGTTCCGCAGATAAACATTCAATGCGGTCAAGAATCTCTGCAAATAAAACATATATCAAGACAGCTAAATTTTCAGAAAAAACGCAACGAGATAGGGGAAAAAAGCATACGTGACGATGCGAGTTGTACAACACTAAATAAAGGAGATATGATATTATACAAAGTGTTCTCATCATCGAAAGATGAAAAATTGGTGCAAACTTCATACAGCAATTCTGCAGCTTTTACCTAAAAAAAAACTTATGCGTTAAATGAAAGACAGAAAGAAAATGAGAAAATTATTTGTTACAGCAATATGCTTCTTCAATACAAAAAAAATATCTAAACAAAAACCACGAACAGCAATTTGACTAGAAGAACACTTTCTCCCATGCAATCGTAACGTAATATCTTCAGATTCTTCTGTTATTTCAATGACAGCTTGTTTACTCCCTTTCACGAAATCTCGCTTAATCTAAACCCACAAATCTTGGAAGGCACTGAACATCTACAAGCAATGACTCTGAAGCGAACGAATGGAACTAAATTCACAAACCTCTTCAAGTTCAATATTATCCGGCAACTTCCCGCCAACAAAAAGCGCAAGCTTCCCTAACGACGTTACTACTGCACTTGCTGCATTCGACATTCCTTCAAGGCATAATGGACCAACTTCTTCGAAAGTTTCCTGTTACAAACAAGTGTTGTAGGCTTTCTCATTTCCAAACTACCCCAGAAGACCCCAGAACAAATGTGTCTGCTGGAACACCAACTTTCCGAACATGATACTTAGTGCGGATATTACTCCCGGATGACTTTCACGTATTCAAGATGGAGATTCTGGTAAAACCCTACAGTTACTAGAAACGCTGTAAGAACAGTCAGCTAAATTATGCCCGTTTGGCCAGTTGCAATCTGTTTTTCTTTTGAGCTACATGCTACTTGTTCCAGAAGATACGTATTTTTTGTTGACAAGATCTTTATGGGTAATTTAAGAATGAAAAGACGTACACATGTAAAATAAATCTCAAGAAAACATCTGACTGTAGAAAAAGAAAATGAATTTCTTAAACAAAGCAAGCTAAGAAACAGATACAGAAAAAAAAAAAAACATACTTCTATTTCAGAGTCACTCAACATTGACATCCATGATGTAAAAAGTTCCGTGAATGTTTGCCAAGCCGAAGAAATCTAGATAGAGTAAAAACGACGTAGTTTTTTCAAAGCAAAAGTTCTAAATCGTAAAAAAAATGCAAAATCCGTGACATTTATGACGCATCCAAAATTAAATGTTCGGTAGCCAAAACTTCATTTTGCAAAGAAGAGCTACCAACCGACTTCAAACAGCACTCGATATAAAGCGGGTGGGAGAATCCAAGGACTCCTTCAATGTGACCACTTATCTTGTTGATCAGAACGACCAATCTGCACAAAACTGCGAAAAAACCAATTCCTTCACTTATTGCCCCACGCTGAATTGCACGCACGTCCGGTAGTTGTTTTCTCAACTCAACTAAGCTCGTGCTCATCAGCTCAACGAAATCACAGTTTTGATCCAGTCCTAAAAAACTATTTTTAAGTAACTGTTCAGAATGAAAGGGGCACATTATTTACAATCTACATGCACGTTTTTTAGTTCTATTCTATTCTATTTGCACTTTTCAAGAATCGCCTACCTTTCAACCCGCTCATTTCCAGTAGTCGTCTGAGGAATTGTGTTTTAAATGTATTTTCAGACTCTGCCACATTACCAAGAGCTGAAATGATAAAACTCCTCTACTGCAACAAAGCAAACACAAAATATCACCACAATTATCCTGTTTAAGTGATGCAAGAATCGCGTTGGATTTCACCGTCAATAAGAGTAAAGGTAAAAGTAGCTTACCAGCTGCAAAATTTGAAGCAAACGCAGACTTACGCTTACTTCCTCCAATGCTTAATCTGAAGTCGCTAACATTTGTCCTTCTTTTTTTCGCAGCATCCACAGTCGAATTGTACCTCAAAGAAACATCAGCAAAATACATTACCAGATGTCCCTGCTTTGGAAGCGGAAAACGAAAAAAATCCTCTGTCGGAAAATAAAAAACAACAAATTCAAAGCATTTATTAATAACGAAAGGTTTGACTTACAAAGCCGCTTTCGCAAAATTTGATAATCTAGATCCCCCAATTCGCACCATTTGAAGTTTCCGACGAGAAAACTCGAACAAGAAACGACCTACGGCCTCAGAACCATCTTCTGGGGACACATAAGTCCGATAATAATCCTTCAAACGTTGAAGAATAGGCTCAAAAGTTGCTTTATTGAAATCACCAAACATTTCTAAAAAAACATAATAGTGAAAAAGAGAAAGAATGCTCAAAGAGTTTCCCAGACAAAGAGCATAGTCGGCATACTGTTTTTGTAGTCAACGAAACGCACACCAAATTGGTCCTGTTCTGTCTCAGGAGGAAGCATTTCAAAAGTGTACTGAAAAGTAGAAAGTAGAGACCAGTAAGCCAAATTTGATCGTTTACCCCACAAAACAGACTTCACTATCATGTTTATTGCACAGCGAAACGACAACGAAATTGAATGAACATTCAATTTCTTATCTAAAAGCTCACCACTTCTTTTTTCCCAAAGTGGGACAACATGTAATTTGCAGTTCCCACATCCTTTTTTAAATTGTACGCTTCAAATAGTTCAGCAAAAGAATCAAATTTAACTCCAAAGGCAGATATTTCCCTGAAAACAAAAATTTGCCTCTAACTGTATCCGCACGACCTACAAATAGTAGCGCAAGAATAAAGAAATACACTCTGCGCTTGAAAAGCAAAACAGAGATAGAAGAAAAAGAACCGTTTACAAAGGTCCAAAAATGTTTCCTTCAAAGCCAGACAATTTTCCAATTCATTCTGTAAAGTCTCCTTTTCTTTCATAGCGCTAGACTCCTTAAATATAAAAAAAATGAAATTGTACTTTTTCGGTATAAGATTTACATCAATTAATAACTTATCCAAGGTAAGCAATAAGCTACATTCAATACAACATTAATATTGGCATAAAACGCTAATTAAAAATACTAGAAAATGCACACCACCTTTTAACTCAACATTTTGAAAAGTTAAGTACCTGCTGATTTTCTTTCTCAGAGAGAGCTGTTTTAAGACCCTCAATCTGTTGGACAAGTGACTTCACAATTGCATCACTTTCACCTTTCCGCCGACACTTTTCAATTTCAGTTATCTCACTCCGAAACCTAAAAGAAAAAAGCAAAGAAAAAGGAAATTGCAGGTGGAACCCTCGGATAAATTCCCTGAAACAAGAAAAAATTTGTTAAGTATATCAAGGAAGGCAAAGGCAAATTCCGCTACCTCTCTATATTCTTCTCAAGATATTCAGCCTTCATAGAATGATAAGAACATTTCAGGAATTCATTGACGCCATTTGGGTCTGAGTAAACAAAAAGGAACCTAAAAAAATATAGTCAAGTGCAAGACGCATAGGGCTTTCCGAGTCCAACAAAAACTAACATGGTAAGTCCAACACAATATATTACTTCACTGATATCGACATTAAAACGCCTTCCTCACCGTTACTTGTAGAGCAGTTTAAAACCAAAGAAGATATTAATGAAACCTGTCACCTCTCGCCTCTTACAACTACTCTGTCCCCATGTTCGGCTTGTAAAGAACTCGAGGGATAAAGACACTTCCCATTTACAAATACTCCATCCTCCTGAGAAGTTATATTGATTTTGTTACCATGAAGTGTGAATACAACGACCGAAGAGTCTAAATTTAATTCTCTAAGAAAAAAATTAATTCTAGTGTCATGCATGAAAACTAATTAAATTAACAAAGTTCCAGTCCGATTTGATTTGTGCAGTAAAAAGTATTACTGACCACAATTAAAAGCTGAGAACGATAACTGGCGGATTAATGGCTCCCAAGTCGTTAGCGAGGAATCTGCTTGAAACTCAACAATTGAAGGGGCATCAGGCAGATTAAAAGAGACGAGTTTCTGAGAAGATTCCAATTGTTCAATACGAGATTTTAAAGCCTTATTCTCATGTTTTAAATCTAAAAAAGTCCTGTGATTAAAGAAACAACGAGAACTCAGTAATCACTGATGTAACTAGACGAACAAAGAACAATTTGAAAAATGAAATTCAAACGACAGCACTCAACCTCAACTGAAACTTTAAAAAACAACTGGTCAGAAACGGGCAAAATCGCAATTCCCACGAGCCGAAGCAGCAACTAGCAGCAAATTCACTTTTAGAAAAGAAGGTGGTTAAAAAATGGCTTTTTGGAAGATATAATGGGAAAGGGATTTTTTTAGTCAGAAAAGTGGTTTAGCACAGTAGGACAAACCTGAAAGTGCAGTGATAACTGGATCAATATTTTTGATGGCACACTGCTGTACAGTAGCTGCTTGCGACGCAAAACGAAGAGTTGACAATGTTTCGCTGCGTTGCATGACTGAAGGCGTCACATTAGCTATCAGAAGAGTACGAGCATTTCCTCCTAAGCAGTCTTTGAGAAGCCTCGTAAGCAGTGAATCACGGTAGCTCGGTTTCCTAGTAAATAACAAAGACAGTTCACCACCAAAGTTAATGACATTTGGAACTGAGTAGAAAAATTTAAGAACTCTTACAGTCTGCTACCGGCAGAAAAAATAACACGGTGAAGCGCAGAAAGACTTGAATTGATTGAAACCGTTTCCTGTAATTTTAACACTGCTTACTAGTGTTTCTATAATACAGTTAAGTAAATTGAAAACGTCTTCAATTGCAGTTTGAAAAAAAAACTAAAGAAAAAAATTACACCAAGATACGAGTATCCCACATCTGATAACCGCTCCGAACCAGCTAAATCAACAAAATACACATTGCTTGTTACGTGATTAACATAGTCACCCAGTTCTTCTAAGCCTGACTCCAAGTGGGAATAGCTAAAAAGTCGCGCCATCAAAGTGGAAAAGAGAAAAATAAGCTGCAATTAAATGCAGACTTGGAAGTCAACTAACGTCAATTGCATGAAAACGTGAGATCGGCTAGAACATATATTCATAGCTGTAGATTCTGTAGCCCTTTTTGTCCAAGCAGACTGCCTTAACCGCTCTAATTCTTCAAAGTTGTTGACTTGAAATTTTGTTAAATCTTGTAGATAAACATCTTCCCCACCACGGACACGAAGTGGTACATGGTCCTCATCTAATAAATCGTAAGCCTAAAGAAGAGAAGCCGTGCCAAATAATGCAGACATTTAGAGACATCAATTAAATTTCACAGCTTTTGAAAACTTGAGGGCAAGGATGATAGACTTGGTTTAGAAACACAACCTTTTCTTGGTAAAGTTCATAGAATGACACCATAAACGTCCTATCAGGATCACCTCGTAAGGAAGCTTTCTCAAATAAGTCCATACAAAAATGAGGAATCACTCCGTATTCTTTCATATTTCCAGACATGCTAAACTAATTCATGTAAATTCTCAGTGATCATTAAACCAGAAAACAAAACAAAACACACAAAAAAAAAAGATAAAATAAAAGACGAACCAGTAAGTCTTCCCAGACCCAGTTTGACCATAAGCCATAACACAGACATTATAACCGTCCACAGCCTGTGCAACTAACTGGGAAACTGCACTTTCGTATACAGAATCCAAACAAGAATTCATGTCAAAAACATAAGAGAAATCAAATACTTTCTGAAAAAAACTGAATTTCACAAGAACAGAATCAAAGAAGAAAGAAGTGAGCCTAAATAATGATTTACAAAAACCTCATCAACTCCATTCACTACTGCAACTTGATTTTCAGTTATTCGCAAAGCACTTCTACAATCCTCGTTCTCAATAAACGGACGCACTCGTAAAGCAACCTATAACTTTGAAAATCTGTTGTAAGAAGCGCAACTTATTTCATACCTACGATATGGCACGAGACTTAAGCAACAAACTTTCAAATAAAGAATTAAAAATTGTTACGAGTATTGTCGATCCCACAGCAGGCGAGAGTCCTTTCTCTCCTCCATTCTCCAAATTTGCACTAAATTAAAATGAATAATGGCAATAATTTGAATGGAGATTAAAAAGAAAGAAAATTCAAAAAAGCTCAGAAACATATGTATATCTTTACCTCCGCGCTTTCCTTTTCTTAGCTGAAGAATTTTGAGTTCGCATCCAAAGTCCCCAGATTGACTTAGTGAGGTTCTTTAAAACTGCTAAATTCGGCAAAAACATTTTAAAGCTGGTTTTAACTCACAGGTTATCTCAACCAAACGATTTTGTTGAAGAAAAACAAGAACAAAAAAGAAATTGTTTGAAATAAAATATAGACCCTGAACTATTAGTTTTATGTAATAACCGTGGCTGAAGTGATATCTTATTACGTTCCGGTCATCCAATCTAAATGTGACCTCAAAAAAATCTCAGCTGTCAACACCAGAAAACTGCATTTTAAGGCGTCTTTCGACTTCCGCAAATCCATGCACATATTAACCAGCAAGTTCCGTGTGTCGTATGTCAACTGATTTAAAGAAGCAAATTTGGCGCCAGAATTCAAATACCTTCAATATCGCAGCAGAATAATTAACTGCAGGCGGATTCAGTTCCAATTTGGTTTGAAAATTTTTTCGTGGTGGAACCAAAATCATGGGGATGCGGTTGGTTAGCAGCTTACAAAAATGCTGGTCTACGTTCAGATAGAGCAGTATTTACGTGGGTTTTTTAAATAAAACTGCGAGTCTTTGGGCACCATTGATTTCCGCGGAATTGTAGCTACCTGTTTGCCGCTATCTTAATTTTTGGAAAACTGGTTGAGATATATGCTGAAATGTGGCGTTGGGGCTGATTTTCTTAACTACTATTTTCAATACGTTTTTGAAATTTGAGTCTGCCGCCGACAAGGGATTTTTTCATTTTTTTAACCTACAGATTCTGCCAAGTGTATTTTTAACGTAAGTGAAATCTTCCATGTGATTAACTAATTTAGA